GAGAGTGTGAGCGAGAGAGAGAGAGTGTGTGAGTGAGAGAGAGAGAGTGTGTGAGTGAGAGAGAGAGAGTGTGTGAGTGAGAGAGAGTGAGAGAGAGAGTGAGAGAGAGTGAGAGTGTGAGTGAGAGTGTGAGTGAGAGTGAGAGTGAGAGAGTGAGAGAGTGTGAGAGTGTGTGAGTGTGTGTGTGTGTGTGGAGTTCATTAGTGCATCACCCACTCAACCTATGCCAGTGAACATGCGGGTGTGTGTACAGTACATGTGTTTGTGTGTATCTCTGTGTTCAAATATCCAAATCCTCCTCTTGCTCTGTACGAAGAAACTGCACGTTTTAATCCTGTGAAAAAATAAACCGAACTTTCAATGCTGTGCTGTTCAACTACCCATCTACACTGCCTCAACCCTGAGTGAGAGTGAGTGTGAGAGTGAGAGTGTGAGTGAGAGTGAGAGTGAGAGTGAGAGAGAGAGAGAGAGTGAGAGAGAGAGAGAGAGTGAGAGAGAGAGAGAGAGTGAGAGAGAGAGAGAGAGTGAGAGAGAGAGAGAGAGTGAGAGAGAGAGAGAGAGTGAGAGAGAGAGAGAGAGTGAGAGAGAGAGAGAGAGTGAGAGAGAGAGAGAGAGTGAGAGAGAGAGAGAGAGTGAGAGAGAGAGAGAGAGTGAGAGAGAGAGAGAGAGTGAGAGAGAGAGAGAGAGTGAGAGAGAGAGAGAGAGTGAGAGAGAGAGAGAGAGTGAGAGAGAGAGAGAGAGTGAGAGAGAGAGAGAGAGTGAGAGAGAGAGAGAGAGTGAGAGAGAGAGAGAGAGTGAGAGAGAGAGAGAGAGTGAGAGAGAGAGAGAGAGTGAGAGAGAGAGAGAGAGTGAGAGAGAGAGAGAGAGTGAGAGAGAGAGAGAGAGTGAGAGAGAGAGAGAGAGTGAGAGAGAGAGAGAGAGTGAGAGAGAGAGAGAGAGTGAGAGAGAGAGAGAGAGTGAGAGAGAGAGAGAGAGTGAGAGAGAGAGAGAGAGTGAGAGAGAGAGAGAGAGTGAGAGAGAGAGAGAGAGTGAGAGAGAGAGAGAGAGTGAGAGAGAGAGAGAGAGTGAGAGAGAGAGAGAGAGTGAGAGAGAGAGAGAGAGTGAGAGAGAGAGAGAGAGTGAGAGAGAGAGAGAGAGTGAGAGTGAGAGTGAGTGTGTGTGTGTGTGTGGAGTTCATTAGTGCATCACCCACTCAACCTATGCCAGTGAACATGCGGGTGTGTGTACAGTACATGTGTTTGTGTGTATCTCTGTGTTCAAATATCCAAATCCTCCTCTTGCTCTGTACGAAGAAACTGCACGTTTTAATCCTGTGAAAAAATAAACCGAACTTTCAATGCTGTGCTGTTCAACTACCCATCTACACTGCCTCAACCCAATCAAAGTGAAACTGAAGGACTGAGCAGCTGTAACTGTGACCGATATTATATTTACTGTTTTTTTTTTTTTACATGTTAACTGTATGAGATATTTAGACATGATAAATATATTCTTACTCCGTTTCAGAACTCTTTGGTGTCCTGTCTTTTGTTTTTTGCCTTGTACCATTTCTTAATGCAGTAGATTCAAAAGTGAGATTCTAACTTTTAAGTTCCTGCCAATTAAAAATGTCATATATAATTTTCTATATTTTTCTTCTGTAAGTGTTCTTGTTCAGTTAATGACTTTTCCCGTGCAACTTTACAAGCTTATCTAATTTGACTGATTTATATTTTCAAAAAATATTTCATTTCTAGCAGTTTGTGTTGCATCTGATGAACTTTTATTTGAGCTGCGAGTATTTCTGTATTTGCGTTCTCTGGCCAGCAGAGGGAGGTCATATTTTGTCAAAATAGTCAAATAGATTCTGCACTTTTTAACTTCTCATGCTCGCAAAAAACAGTATATTTAATGTCAAGGTAACTTGAAGTACATTAATTATAGATCTAAAAATAGCGACGACCGAATTGTTGAGGCTGAATTTAGCATAATCTTACTATGATGAATGCATCTTATCAATATTAATTATGCAAATTCATGTGTATACAGTGAGCCTATCTGATTGGCTGACAGGCATACGTTGGCATGTGAACGCTAGTCAATTGGCGAATTGCTGAAGCGTGCTTATGAATATTAATTAGATTACGTAACCGAACACCCTGGCCTGACTCGAGCATGATAAACGTGAATTTAACTTGGAACGTCTTTTCTATAAATCTTTAGATATGAAAGTTAATTTTTCAGATTTTGTTGTTGTTGTTATTTTGATATACATAGATTATGACCAAATGTGGCTTTTATTTTCAATCTTTGTTTATATATATATTTATTATTTATCAAAAAGAATAGTATTATACTGATATATATATATATATTATACTATTATTTTTTAACTACATTTTGTACAATGTGACTGTCAAAAAATATCGCAAGGAAGCATTCGTAGCAACGTCAGCATGGTGTAATTAATATTCATTAGGCCAAGCCTTTGTGGGATTGGTCGTTTCGCCAGTTTCAGCCACGCCTTTGCGACTCACATGAGCTCCACATAGGCAACGTAAAGGAGTGCGGCCTGTCGTAAAACATATGGGGAAGAAAAACACACACACACACACACCTACCTTCAAGCCACTCGAGCCCGTGCCGTGGCTTTGTAACGAGCCCGTCCCAGTCCAGTGCGATGATATTCGTCTCATGCATCCGGGCTGTCAGGCTTATCTAGTTACTAAATGAGTCAAAAGCTAGTTTGGGTGGTTGAAACCGACATGCTTTAAATGTCAGTGGCGCTTTCAGTTCATGCAACATTCCTGGATTCTTCAGCAGAGCACGAGCTGTGGGTCGGGAGTTTCGACGGGCTGCTTTTGTTGAGGCAGGTGAGTTTCACAGCCATAGTGAGCTCATCTATTCATGCACAGTATTAGTATTAATATTGTATATGCCGCTGCCACTTGTTTATTATGATCTGGTCTTTATAATATGACAAGTGTTGATTTTAGGGGGTATTCGTAAGTATCTAAATCTGAAGTAAATAGTTTAGGCAAGATAATGCTGACTGTTTTAGGTGTTGAACGTTTTCACAACCTCTAGGAGTAAGTTTCTATCTGAATCTAGATTCTGTGTTTTTGTTTAGGATCTATATCTTACAGTAACACCCAGAGTTCTAGATCAGCTCTTTGCAATATGTGCAAATCTTTGGGCATCAATACATAATAAATGCATGGAAATAATCTGAACCGATATGGTCAAGTTATTGAGTTAAGATATAGTTTACATGCTATTTCAAGGCCTGGGATATAATGTTGGCTCTGTGAACATGTTGAGTTGGCCTGGGATGATGTCATGGGTCTCTGTTTATTTTGGGATATTTTTTCCTTCTCTCAAAGTCATGCATTGCACATTTACTGTTACCTGTGGCATGCACATTCGTTTTTGGAATTTGCAATGCATTCGTGCGGCATCGAAATCCATTGCTGTTTGTAACGTGTGCTGTGTTTGTCGACAGGGCTTGGAAGAACAGAGGAATTTTTGGAATATCGAAAAGCTGCTGGTGGAAAACTGCCCGGAAACGCACAAGTCCAAGTCGTCTGGGATTCGTATCGTTCACATGATGGATGTGATTTCACCGTGCACCGGGGAAATGACACGATCTGTCACCCTGGATTAACACAGATTCACCCATTGGTGGGATTTGTTGGGCAAACTCCTTTTGGCAGGATGTTGACACCATGAGGGCTCGGGAATATCGACCATAATATAATCGGGGTTATTATCGGGAAGATTTCTGCCTACATGCTCACAGCTTGCGGTGCAGAATGGCATCGACCGAGAGACTGTATGAGGTTTGGATGCTGTACTGCAATAAGGTAAAGAGCTTGCAGAGCACATGCACCTTCATAGAGTTAATGCATTTCATTTCTCACGCAGATGCTCATTGCATCACTAAGCACGGCCAAATAATCTCCTTGCATGTAAGAAGGAGTGCGGGTTTAGTTATTCATTTCTTGCAGCGTGCATGGGGCTGCTACACTGTGTTCTATATGTGAATGCATGTTGTGACATCTTGAGATGCCCTCTGGGGAGATCCGCTGAGCTCAGGTGGTTGGGAATGTCCAGTTGTGTTCATTGATGAGGGATTGTATATAATGCCGACCCCCATCTGTGATGTAATCGGACTTAAGATAATCAACCCGAGATAATTCAGGGCACAGTGACAGATTGTGTTTTGGTTATTCTTCCCCATTGACCCCAGATGCATTTGGGTTTAAGAGTTTTTCCATAAAGATCTCATGTTGGTTTACAAAAAAAAAAATGTCTTAAAGCGTGTCGTTTTTTTAATGTTAAACTTTCTTATCCCAGTTCATGATGTAGGAACAACTATAAATGGACCTTCAGATGTCAGTTTCCCCAAAAAGTGTAAACAGTGCTCTGTTTGTTTGCGCAACACTGGTGTGAATTTGGGGCGGAGCTAATTGTTTGACCGACCAATGGCTGATAGGGGGAGTGTTCAGGAAATATGTTTGAAAACATTATTTTTGCTATTCCATTTTTGCTAGTAATGCAGAAATGACACACTTTAGCTTTAAAAAGCCTTGCATGTCTTCAGGATAAAGCTCTCTGATTTGAACTATATTTCTATGTAGTTATAATGTAGCCTACTCTTTTAGTTTTAGTTATTTTGGTATTTGAGTTCTTATTATTTAATTCAACTCTTATTATTTAATTACTATTTAATTAAATTATTTGATCATTATTTTTTTCAGTTAGCTGCAAAGGCAACATTTCTAATTTTCGTTAGTGTTTCATCTAATATCTATTTGATTTTCTTCTGATTTATTTCAATTACACTGGGAAAAAAATTGGTGTATGATTTACTTCTAACAGTTTTCACTCTAAAAAAAAAAAAAAAAAAGAAAAAAGGCAAGTAACATTCAAATAAACATGAAATTTTGAAGTGGCAAAACTGATATAGCATTTTCTTGTAAAACATACTCCAATAATCAAACAACCACCCAGAATACCTTAGTAATGCCTTAGCAACCACCCAGGATGCCCTAGCAACCGCATAGCAACACCATAGCAACCACCCAGAACACTCTAGCAACCATCTTGCAATGTCCTAGCAACCACCCAGACTACCTTAAAGGGGTCATATGATGCGATTTCAGTTGTTCCTTTCTCTTTGGAGTGTTACAAGCTCTTGGTGCATAAAGAAGATCTGTAAAGTTGCAAAGACTAAAGTCTCAAATCCAAAGAGATATTCTTTATAAAAGTTAAGAGTCAGCCACGCCGTCTCACGCTTGAGGTATTCGGCCAATCACAACGCATTGGATAGCTGGCCAATCAGAGCACACCTCGCTTTTCAGACCGATGAGCTTTGTAAAAATCAATGCGTTTCAAAAAGGCAGGGCATAGAGGAGAAACAATAATGTACAGTATGTGGAAAATAATGTGTTTTTTGAACTTTAAACTGCGTAAACACATTTCATTACACCAAATACACAAAATAATGTTCTTTTTAGCAACATCATATGACCCCTTTAATAACACCCTAGCAACATGTCATTGAACTCCACTTCTCTTACTTTCACTCATTGCTCATGACTGAATAAACCTGCTTTTTTGCGCTATTGCTTGTAATTAGCTTATTGTGAAATGTAGGTATTGACAATTTGGTAACACTTTACAATAAGGTTCATTAGTTAACTACTTTAGTTAACATGAACTAAGCATGAACAATACTTCTACAGCATTTATTAATCTTAGTTAATGTTAACTTCATCATTTACTAATGCATTACTAAAATCAAAAGTTGTGCTTGGTAGCATTAGTTAATGCTCTGTGAACTAACAAATGAACAACTGTATTTTCGTTAACTAACATTAACATTAATAAAGATTAATAAATACTATAATAAATGTATTGTGTATTGTTTATGTTAGTTTAACTAACATTAACTAATGGAACCTTATTGCAAAGTGTTACCGGCAATTTTGTTGCCATAATAAGCTTCTTTATTACAATACAACATAGCAAGAGTCTATAAAAAATATTACAAAAACAATAACTGTTGTACATTTTTTATTTATTTATATTTTTGTGTGGCGAGGCCTGCTCAAGAACACCGAACACACATGTGATCTGGCTCTTTTGCCTCAGGGCTACCCATGTTGGCTTTCTCAAGCCAACATCAAAGTTTGTTCACAAACTTTAGCCTCTAGGTTTATTTAAAACTGTTTAGCTGCAGATTCATCTTTAGCGAGTAGTTCAACACAATAGCATTCTTCACACTCCTTTAAACTCCTTGTCTTAGTGTTTCGTGTTGCCAGTACAGATCTTTAACTGCTAGGTTACCATCATGCTGGTATATTCAGATCCTTGTTGAGACTATTGTGATCATCAGGCTATGGTGGGTTCAGGACATTTAACACCAAATCATTCTCAGTAATAATTATGAGCCAGATCAAATGTAATAACACATTTTCCACAAGAGAGAATATTCTGCTTCCTCAAGAACTTGAGTGTCAGCAGTGTCTTGTGGGTCTGTTGTGTTAGTGTAATACAGCGATTGAGCCCCTCAGAGCCGGGGCCGTCCACTGGGACGCAGATCTGATCCAGATGACCTGCCAGATAAAATACAACTTCCGAATCTGAACATTAGCTTTGGGTTGCGGCAGTAAATGTGAGATTTAGGTCTAAAAGGAATAGAAGACTTAAAATAAAACATGTGCATTGATCAATAAGGGTTTAAATGCTAAAAGAGCATCACGGAATGATGGGATATACAGTTTTGCTTCAGTTATTAATCAAGCGTTGTGCAGTCTTGATTCTCTCACAGTGACACGTTGAACCTGCCAGCTCGTCCTTGACATTATTTCCGTCGTGATCTGATAGTCGCAAGTCCAGTGTGGTTTTGTTTGCTGCAAGAATGACCTTTGCTTTTGTTCATGGTTTCTGCTCTCATACATTAACCAGCCTGTGATCTTCAGAGCGACATTTCCTCTTCAGCACGCTAATGTAGCCTAATGATAACCTTTATGTCTGTCAGATTTACATTGATGCACGTTAGCAGGCATTACAATGGTTATTTTGCTGTGAATTCTGGGACATGTGTTTTTGTGTTTCCTGGGACAAAATGATTTGGAGCCCAACCTGCTAAAAACAAACAAATACTGGAAAAATGTTGTTCTGGGAACCTTCTAGCCTTGTACTGAGAGCTCGTATGTGATTCTGAGTGATGTTTTCTCGTTTAACCACCTGTAAGTTGCCACAGCAAACCTTTGACCTCTGTACAGCATCATCTGAAGTACGTTTTGTCCATTCAATAATAACATATGCCATTTGATTCCATCAGATGAGGAATAACCTATTTAGGCTTATATTGTATCTCAAGGTCACAAAATATAAAACTCATGCATTCTGATGGAAATCCATTTACTGGGACGTTCTGTCATCTAACATGCCATGAATGGCAGCACTATTTTAATATAGTTCATCTAAATTCTTTGAAAGTATAAGTGAAAAATTGTTTGGCTGTACAGGTAGTTGGGGTTGCTATGTGGATTCATGATAGATTACGTTTTTGACTATAAGTAAAAGCCGTTCTCATCTTCTTCGAACTCTACATTAGAAGAAAGCTCCAATTTAATGTATACTTTCTTGTATACCAGGTCCATATTTGACCAAAAATACAGTAAAAAGAGTAATCTTGTGAAATATTATTACAATTTAAAAACAACTGTTTAATATATGAATTGTTTAATCTGAAAAGGTTATGATCGAGAAACATTTTCAAAATTATCAATGTTGAATAAAGTTGTGCTGCTTATAATTGTATTATTTGATGAACAAAGTTCAAAAGAACTCATTTATTTGAAATAGAAATCATTTGTAGTATATTATAAATGTCTTTACTGTCACTTTTGATCAGTTTAATGCATCATTAATGAATAAAAGTTTTAATTTCCTAAAAAATGAAATGTAAATCCTATTGACCCCGAATTTTTTCGACAGTGAAAATAGTGTAAGAAGAACCAAAATGGCAGCAATGCTAGACGTTAAGGGGTAGTTAGTAGGGATGCACCGATATGAAAATTTTGGCCGATACCGATAACCGATTATTCTTTATTTTTGAAAGCCGATAACCGATATGTTGGCCGATAAATCTATATCCAAATTGTTATATACTTTTTGAGAGCCTGATTACAAAAAAGGTCTCATCATTAAAAGCCACATCCCAAACACTTCAACATAAGCAGCCTAGTTTGAACGGTGTACGTTTTAAAAATATTTTTACTCTCCAATTGCCAAATTTTGTCATAAAAAAGTCTTACAAATAAATAAAATAATGCATAAATAATGCAAACAAGTCACTGGACATCATTACACGTGTAAAGAATCAAAATGAATGCGCTACAGATCAATAAAACAGAATTGTATATAATGTTATATACACAACATTCCCAATCATAGTTATTAATGTTGTGCACTGCTGTTTGAGCTGCGTGCGCTGAGCTAAAGACGATCACCGGTAAACTGAAGCGCTCTTTTAACTTAACCAAACGCATTCTATATGAGATAAATCAGATATACATCAAATAAACACAATATTACAACGTACAATTGCACAAAAGGCTGCAAACGAACAGCGCGCATCTGAAGTGTCTCTAAAGGAAATAATGCATTATTTATCGGCTTTAAGATAGCGGCCAAATTTTCTTATCAGGCCGATACCGATAACAGAAAAAATGAGCCGATATGGGCCGATACCGATATGGTGGCCGATATATCGTGCATCCCTAGTAGTTAGGTTGATTAATACTTGAAGAATACTTAGTATGAATACTTAGTCATACTCTGTTGGCAG